TGTATGAGATTCACTTGTATTAAGAAACGGTAATTTCAAATGGAATGTGAATTGTTTGTTTGTTCTAGAAGAAAGCCACATTGAGATATCTGTCGTGTCCATCACGGGAAATCGAAACTCGGATTTTAGCGTTGTTAGTCTATATCTATATATAGTCACTGGAGAAACTTGGAGATTTTTGGGTGTGCAGAAGAAGAATTTTGCGTTGTTATTCTATACAATACATGTTGCATTACAAGCGCTGAAGTTAGTTATTGGCTCACCAGAACTGAATAAACCTAGTAATGATCACGACTGGGACTCCATTTTTCTAAAACATACATGAAGCAATGAGATCCAGAATTCTTTTTTTCTCAGTTTCAGATTATTTCTACAGTATACTCAGAATAATGACCAACTCATGTCAAAAAGAAAAGAAAAGCGAAATGGATCCTAATTGTAAGTTACTTGAAGGCTTTCCACTAATTTAAATGTGTAATAATAACTAGGAGTGAAAAAATGTGTTACTAATGCTATTTTCAGAAGTATTTAGAAATTTGTTCATGCTTACCAATCCATTTATTCGGGCCCGAGTCGTAATCTGAGGGTCACGGGTTCGAATCCCCGTCCTACCAAACATGCTCTTCCTTTCAGCCGTGGGGGCGTTATAATGTGACGGTAAATTCCACTATTCGCTGGTATAAGAGTAGCCCAAGAGTTAGTGGTGATGACTAGCTGCCTTCCCTCTAGTCTTTCATTGCTAAATTAGGGACGGCTAGCGCAGATAGCTCTCATGTAGCTTTGGGCGAAATTCAAAAACAAACAAACCATTTATTCGTGTGAGATTTTTATGAAAGTGTATGGGCAAGAGTTTTTACAGTAGGTGTCTGTAGATTTCAACGATAACACGGACAGCACACAACTGGTAATATATTCAAAACAGGTCAAACTTATATACAAATGTTCATCACACAGTTAATCACCAAAGTTGTATCTAGAATTTTAAGTAATCGTCTATCTTCGTCAAGAGTCCACACAGGCTGATTCAGTTACTTTAGAACCACCTAGTTGACAAGACAAATTCTTCTTCTCTATTCTGTTATTGCAATACAATCTGCGATTATTACATTTTAAAAGTCGCCACTATACAATCTTTATGGGTAAACTTATAAATAGTCTAGATCTATTTGACTATATCTTTCACCAACTTTGTCTTACCTTCACTTTTATTAACTTTCTTATTTGCGTTAAATTGGTCGCCTATATATATATATATATTGCCCAACTGAGGCCCAGAACTTTGTACGAACTTCGAGACGTTAAAATGTAACAATACTCACTTACAGCAACGAGAAAAATTCAGAAGAGTCGAGTAACATGAGGTCAACTCACAACAACTGAACTACACAACAAATGATTCGTAAACAGTTACGTAAGCAAACTTGCCATAACTAATGCTTCTAAAAATAACTTACTTTAATGCTCACACAATATAAACTAAATAATACTATCATATTAAACTTAAAATGAATAATGTGTATATATAACAATTCAGAATATATTTTTGATTTCAAATTATTCCTATTTTTGGGGACGAACTGACTATTGACTCTTTTTTGCTTTCTTCTTGAAAACTTTTTTAGGTTCTTCCCTTAAATCAACGTGTGTAAAACAATAAATAAAGTGCAAAATCTATTAAAGAAAGTTATTAAGTTCTTCAGCACCATACTATCACCACCAGCAACAGTTTACGTGTACAAGGACAGACGGAGATATAGGGTGATGGAAGTCAGAAGATTTATTGAAAATTCCTGTAGTCTCCTATTTCTTGTTTGTGTGTGTGTGTGTTTTTTTTTCTCGTAGCTATATAAGCTTTTAATGGGTAGCTGTATGGTTTACTAAAGCTGCCGCTAAAAGGAGGGAAAGTCTGATATTTTATCTGCAATTATGAGGGTTACTAAGTACAAAAAACTTGCGCAAACACATCCTCTTTTTTCCACTATATACTTAAGGATGAGATAATTTTAAATTTAATGTGTTATTTCTGGATGCCCCATTGCGTAGCTTTGTGCTTAACAACATACAAAAAATATATCTGGATCAGTGATATATAAATACTCATGATAAAAGTAACTTCCATTCAAAGATCTTTAGCTTGATCTATTCTAACATCCGAATTTTATTGTAATTGCTTTAACGTTCAGATTCCGCATGCACATATGGCAACAGTTTTTACACGGCATCTCCGTCGTATTCAAATACATGCTATGCTCATTATAGGCGGCGGAGTACAATAATTGTACGTATATATAGGCCTATATTAAAGATCGGAACGAAGGATAGCGGTGATCATAGCGTTAGGTGGAAATGCAGTTGCATAAATTATTCTAAATTACATGTTAACGATGTGAATATTCAGTTAAATCTGTATCTGTGTGCATATGAACTGCGACACAACTTTTCGTGAAGCTTATCAACGAATACTGAGTATCTGCTGTTTGGAATACTGTTTATGGTATAAACCCAATTTTGGATACAATTTTGTCGTTCACAGCGCTCACAAAAACAGATTTGTTGTGTATATCAGTGTCATATATCACCAGGAGGGGAGGCTAGGCGGATCTTCCAATTCAGAGCTGTGAACATAAGCAAAGCCCTCTCACTTCCCTTCCCCATAGCGTCACTATCACACGCATTGATTTTCAGTACTTATGTGTGCTTGTAGGCGTATGCGTCTTCGCACCCATACATACACTTATATACATATACATCCTCCACTTTCACCACACGCAAACACTATCAAATGCGCTCTACCGCCTGTGCTAACTGATATTGTATTAATGTTTGGACTAGTCACACACTTCATTAGCGGTAGTCTTGTCGCAACTCTTGTTGCACATTATAAGCTTTAAATTTATCTATCCGGTTTGCCCGTTCAATTTCAATAATTCACATGCAAGTCAGGGTAACCATATCTGTATAAATAGATTTTACATCTACAAAACGTTTTCTTCCAGCATTAGAACATTTTGTTTAAATGTTACATATAGGTTTGTTTGTTTGTTTGGTTTTTAATTATGCACAAAGCTACACAAGGGCTATCTGTGCTCTGCCCACCACGGGTATCGAAACCCGGTTTCTAGCGTTGTAAGTCCGCAGACATACCGCTGTGCCACTGGGGGGCGTTACATATAGGAAATGATTTATAAAAATATTAACAACTTAGATCCTGCCAAGAAAGATGGCAATGCGAATAATCAGCTTTTCTAAGAACATATACGTTCCCTGTGGATTCGAAACAACCTTTTATCTCGACAGGATTAGTTTCTAAAATCTGGTTAATTAAACTATGTACATACGTATGAAAAAATAAGGTTTTCTATAATATTTTGTTTCAGCATACAATGAGAGTTTGAAAGTCAGTTTCAATATTATATAATTAATATCCAAAAGTTTCCCTCGTGCAAATACTTGGATATATTAAATTCTGCCAATAAAACAGAGGTGACTTCTACCTACCTGAAAACTTTGAATATTTGAATTGTTTGAATATTACAAATAATATAAGCATGTTTTTCACTATTACATTGGTTAAAAATCCTTCAAATAGCTGCTCAAACTAGAAAGAACATAGTATGAAAGACAAACAGACATAGGATTGACAAACTGGCCGAAAGATTAGTTCCCATGTGGAAGGTAAATAAAAACAATTCACCAAGCAAATATTCTATTACAATAATTGTTTGGCACAGGAAACTCTTGAAAAAATCTCCGAAGAGTAGGCAAAGGCTCTGAGGAATAACCGTTATCTTTATTTTAAGAAAATCTACTTAAGGAGATCTAATACTATAAAACACAGTGTGCATCTGTCTGTCTGTCTCTTGGTTACACACTGATGTCATAACAACTTATTATGTAATTCAGGTAGTTTGTCTTCCTGTCAATTAGAAAAGAGTAGTCTATGATTGATCGAAAATTAAATGCACATTTGGACTAAAATGTACGAAAAATTACACCTTTATTTGCAATTTGAAAACGTATCTTTGTTAAATCTTCGAGTTACGCCAGAAAGGACGTAATATACTTTACTAGACGTTTATACAACATATTAAAAGCTTATCAAAGTTTTAAAAAAAGGTCTAACGTTAGGTCGTAGAATAATATTCGAAGGTTATTTATTAATAGTATTAAGTGCGGTAAGGTTTAGCAAAAAAAAAAAACGTGCACAAGTTACAATGTTAATTTAGATCTTTATCAAATACAGGTCGTACTTAATAAAGGCTTAACTAATGTTAGGCCTAAGACAAGTGGACTTTTAGATTTCATTGTCTGCGATTAGAATTCATTGGCATTACTCTGAAAATCCTGTATTTAAAGAAGTACTGTTACAATAAAGATACTAATTTGGCCGCAAATATTTTGCGTGTCTCTGCTTGTATAATAGTTATTTTCCAATTTACAGATATGTATTACACTGCAACAGTTTTCTTTTCTGCACTAAAACTATTTCCTTATAATAATAATACAAATAGCACAGTTGTAGAGTTTTGGCTGTAATGGATAGCTTTTGTATTGTTCCTAGAGTAGGACATTAGAGCAAAAAACTCTACTATGTCTACATTACCTAAAATACCCTTCAAACAACAAATAGCTTAGTTAATGTCAAGTACTTAAAAACAGTTTAGTTACTTTATTCTTTGTATATCTGAAACAGTTCTGTTTTTTATGGCGTGGAAAACACTTTTCATAATTTTTTCCCCTACATTAGCATATATAAATAAAGTTGTCATACTTCGAAAGATTTGTTTTATTCATATAGGTCCTAATTTTTTTTTTTTTTCATAGAAGGTCAAATTTTACATCCCGTTATACACTATTTATACTGTCACGCGACAGTTTCATCTTACACATCGCAAATATGATTGTACTAAACCTTTCAATCGTTATACGTAAAAATACAACATATTACTGGAACAGCGTTATTGTAATAAATGAATAATCTATTTCAAAAGTGATCTTACCCGACGAAAAGAAGCATAGCTGTTGGCACACATGATTCTCCTTGTTATAAAGGGTATTAGGTTCTACCCAAAGTGGCCAAGCAACTTGCTCATGTGTTCGACTTTTTATCTCCCCCCCCCCCTTTATGACGTTGCATGAAATCGAAAACTAGGCTCGAACGACTTCGATAAGCAAACATCAGTAGACCATGAATGACCGGCATTTGGGTAATATTCAAAATTATAGGAAATAATTAAAAACAACGTTAACTATTTACACAATTTAAACTTTATTGGAGCCGTTTAACATAACTTTAACACAACACTCCAACACTCTACAAATACTAGTTTCTTTATCATGAAGATGACGTAGATCACGTCGAAACTAGTATTTGTAAAGTATTGAAGCCGTTTAACACGACACTCCAACACTCTACAAATACTAGTTTCTTTATCATGAAGATGACGTAGATCACGTCGAAACTAGTACTTGTAGAGTATTGGAGTGTTGGTTTAAAGTGGAAACCGTACGGCTCCAATAAAGTTTTAATTATGTAAATAGTAAACTTTGTTTTTAAGTATTTATTATAATCAGCAGACCTGTCATGTATATTTCTCTTAATCCTTATTCTGTTAAGTCACATGCATTGAAAAGAAAGAAACTGTTAGAGAATCAATTTTGTAAATGAATATTAGGTTTAACAGAAACCATTGTTATTGATCTTCATATTGTATGAACTGGATATTTATTAATATATGCGACATATATAACTTACTTAACTTAAGATTTAACATAATTGGAGGAACAAATCACTCAAGAGTAGACAAAAGGTCTGAGGAATAACTCCTATCTATGATATAATGCTCCCTAATGGCACAGTGGTATGCTGACTTACAACACGAGAAACCGAGTTTCAATACCCGTGGTGGGCAGCACACAGATATCCCATTGGGTAGTGGCTTTGTACTTAACTTCAAACAAACAAACAGACTTTGATATAAATGTGCTATTTAAAGAAAAAAAAATCATTTTCTAATGTACACATATATATATATTACATGGCAGGCCGTTCTTCATTACGAAACTTTTTACAGTGTGTGTTCACACATTTAAATAGTTGATTGGTAGTCTTAGAGTTTAAATAGTTGATTGGTAGTCTTAGAGTTTAAATAGTTGATTGGTAGTCTTAGAGTTTAAATAGTTGATTGGTAGTCTTAGAGTTTAAATAGTTGATTGTAGTCTTAGAGTTTAAATAGTTGATTGGTAGTCTTAGAGTTTAAATAGTTGATTGGTAGTCTTAGAGTTTAAATAGTTGATTGGTAGTCTTAGAGTTTAAATAGTTGATTGGTAGTCTTAGAGTTTAAATAGTTGATTGGTAGTCTTAGAGTTTAAATAGTTGATCGGTAGTCTTAGAATTTAAATAGTTGATTGGTAGTCTTAGAATTTAAATAGTTGATTGGTAGTCTTAGAGTTTAAATAGTTGATTGGTAGTCTTAGAGTTTATTTATATTTTTTTTAAGGTAAATTGTCTGAGTCGTTCTCCTTTTCCGTAACAGTTTAAAGTCTTCAGTCTGGTTGCGTGCCCCCCAGTGGTACAGCAGCAAGTCTGTAGGCTTATAACGTTAAAAACCGGGTTTCGATACTAAAGTTGAGCAAAAACAGCCGTTTGTGTAGCTTTGTTCTTAACAACAACTAACCAACAACCACCTGGTCGTGGTTTTTGGATAATAACCTCTACCCATTTCGGTGATTAAAATTATTATTTTGTTATAAATAAAAGCAAGGATGACAAGGTTTTTGAGAAATATAAATAGTTGAACATATTGGAAGCTCATGGAAAGATGAATACTGCTTCTAATACTTAAACAGTCAACAGAAACTAGACAACAGAATACTGCCAAAAACAACAATAAATATTTAATGCACGTCTGTGCTGTTGTAGAACCAATGAACTGAAGCACCTGCTACAATAAAATTGTTTCGTTGAAACAAAATATCATTATATATATATATATATATATATTCAAACCATATAACATTGAACACCTATCTGTCATATGCGCACAAACACAGGAATAATGGAATTCAGTTGCTTCCATCTTTTAGTACTTATTATGCTATTTTTTATTTTTTAACGGGCTTCGTAATTAGTCTATTTGGCTCAGCGGTAAATTTTCTGCCTTATAACGCTACAAACTGGGTTTCGATACCCGTTGTAATCATAGTACAGGTATCCCATTGTGTAGCTTTGCGCTTAACAACAAACAAATCAAACCGTAGCCCCTCAGCTCGTGAAAGGGGAAGGGAGCTTGTTTCTTCAAGTTTTATTTTTCTAATTAGTGTTAATACTCTTTCTAATTTATTTTTTACAATGTATTTGATGTGTGAAATTTTTTTCGTGGAATGGCAGGGGATCTTTCTTTTTGTATTAGGGAAAGTTCTACATTTACACTAACTTTCAAAGTTTGGCAAGTTGTGTTTAAATGGAGGTGTTTTCAGTATCATAACATTCACTACAACAACAAAAAAGTTATAGGCGCACTACGCTTGAATTACTGTATTGCAGTGACATGTTCCTGCGGGAAAGTGTTTCAAGTTTAATTATTAGTGACGCCATCTTTCACACTGTGTTAATAAAACTAGCTTAGTGATTTTTTTCATCATCATAGAACTCTTTGTTTTTGATCTGGATCTTGAAAATTTGTGAGTAGGACAGAAGCCACAGTACGAACTTCCTTGTGGCTCTTATTATACTTTTATAATGTAAATCTACTGTTTGATACACTAATATATGTTGGATAAATTTGATGTTTGCTTGTTTTAACTATTTTCAAACGCTCTGTCCGAATTTAAATTCTTGTAGGATCATATTTCATATTAAATTGTAGGCCGAACTGGTCAAATTTTTCACAAGTAATATATTTACTTTTCCTGTTCATCAATGTTGATGGTTAAAAAATAGTGTTTCAGACTTGCAATATGTCGTGTTGTAAGATTTAAGAACGATTCTTTACAGACACCAAAGTCTCTGAATTTATTTGATGAAATCATACATTTATAAAAGCCAGAAATTTCGGAAACTATAATTATCAGCTAAAAATATTAAATAAGTATTATATAATAAGTAGTAATAAATTGGCTAACAAGTAAACGTGGTAACTACCTCAATAACAAAAACCTATGATCCGCAGTCTCAAGTCTCTTCTATTCTATAAGTAAAGACAATAAATCATAGATACATTGTTTTCATGAAGTGCTTATATAATGAAAGAATTATGTTGAACTTCCTTATAAAAAAATTAAGGGTTAATTCGCAAAAAAATTAGTTCACAAAGTTTTAAAAAATACGTTCCATAAATTCTAATATACTTCACAGATTCCTGTTTGTTTGTTGTTGTTGTTTATGTTTTTGTTAATAAACTAAAATGTATTGAGTCTCTGAACTTGTAGCCTACTGAAAATTTCTTGGAGTGTTTGAAATTTCATATTCATTGATTTGGAGTTTGTACAGATGGAATCTTCTTTAGTACTTAGAAAAACATATGACGACAACTAAAGTTTATTCTTTATTAGCTATATTTTTCCAAGTAGTATGCCTCTCGAAACAACATTGTGCATAATGAATCGAGTTCTGTAACTTTCTACATTTTACATAAGAACTTCGTTTCTTCTTATTGTGGTGCATTGCATGATATTATAGAGCACTCTGTTCAAGCTTTTCAATCAAAATAAAACATAAGTATATTTACTACAAAATGAAAAGCTAAGATGTAAAAATGGGCAGAATAAAAGCGGAACGATAAGTACCTTATAGATTTTAGCATGTGTAAGCTCTTCATTATCTAAATAGACGAGAAGAAGAAGGTGGATGCCATCAAGTAGTAACATGAACTAATTACAAAACACATAAGGAAAAAACAAACTATAAAACTGCTGACTAATTGATAACGCTCGTTTAAACAGATGTAATGTGACTGAGTGACTGTTACCAAATGGTTTCACACAGTCCAATCATTGCATGGTGTCATGACATGTGATTTTCATTAATCATTCTTCAACATTGGTAGAATATAGTAATTATTTTCTTAAACCAGTTGCATAATAAAATATTCTGATTATCGATCTTGTAGTATAGGAATCGTCATCATTACAGCCACTTCGGTAAGCCTAAGTTTTTAATATTGTGTTTTAACCACTTATTCAACAACTCAAATATATATCTACAATACCGACTCATTCTCGTATACCTTCCATAGTGTTAATCAAGTAAAAATACTCGAGTATTTGAGATGTGCGTGCACGCGAGGGTGAACAAAATCTCGGAGTACGCAAGACTTAATCGTTTTTTAACCAGTGGATGTTCAAACTACGAAAACCGGCACATTAACAACAATAATAAACCTTACAAATTTGTTTTCAGTAGTAAATCCTTATTGTGCTGATAGTAGAAATTGTCGACCTCTGGGGAAGGAGACCGCGAATATATGAAATAATAATAATTTCCCATGTGTACACTATATATTAAGTGGCATACACACTTAAAAGGCTTCACTTTCGTTTTCCGGTACATTATAAGTTGGAAAGTGCATCGATCATGGTGAACAGAGCCTCTCCGTAAGTTAAACTCTACTGTGTTTGTATATCTCAATACGTATTAAAACTCTTCTTTCCGTTCAAAGATCAAATCAGCAATTTAAATAACTCCAAGGTCGTGTATCAGTATACGAATGCTATAGTTGTAAACAAGCGTACATAGAATCGACCGAAAGGAGACTAGAAGAACGAATCAACGAGTATCTAACTTCAAATATATGTTCCACAAACAAGTAGCAAAACACGTACTGAACTGTAACGACAATTCACTGACCAATCAACACTTGAAGTTCCTTCTCAGCGCACAGAATTGAGAGATCTGTACACTTCAGAGACCACCATGATAAAACTAAGATCTGTATAATTCACAGTTGCTAAACAGCAATATTACCATGAAATAGTATTTTTTCAAGAAAACCTAATCTGCTCCGATGTAATAAAAATGTTTACTCTTAAATGCAATGTCATCACATTAATCTTCACAAGGCAAGAGATAAAAATAATACACGTTTGTTAACAACCATAGAAGATCATT